CGGCTCGGCCTGCAGGGGCTGCGGGGGCGGGGCTCGTGTGCGCCCGGCTTTGCCCTGCTCCCCCCAGGCTCAGGCTGCCGGCGGCTTCTGGCCAGCACCTCAGAAGCCTCCGTTCTCAGCCCTCATTAACCTTCCAGAGGAAGGTCCCTTGGCCATAGGGGTGGGACCCCTTCCACCCCATTTTCACGGCCATCCCTGCCACATTTCCTTTCGGGGAGGGGAGCTCATGAGAGGGCGTGTTCCCCGGGACTGCTCGGCGGGGTGGACCACACCCTGAGGGCCGGAAGCCCTGGGTTTGAGCCACCAGTCTGGGGCCCCGGGTGCTGGGGAGTCTGGGTGGAGGCTGGTGGGCCTCCCCAGCCCTGCCCAGCTGCTCAGGTGTCTCCAGGCAGTGGAAGCGGGTGTTCGGCCATCTCCCTGAGCCCCCGTGGGCAGGCCTGGTGGACGCGCTGGCCCAGCCCAGGAGTGTGGGAACATATCCCCAGCAGTCCCCCTCATCCCAGCGGCCACACCCGGCCCTCCTGCTCACGCTGCCTGCCCTCCCGCCCGCAGCTCCTGAACTGCATCATGGACATGGCCGAGAAGACGCGGCGGTCACTCACCGTGCTGCGCCGCTGCCAGGAGGCTGACCGCGAGGAGCTCAACCACTGGATCCGGCGCTGTAGCGGTGCCGAGGACAAGAAGAGCCCCGCGCCCACCGCCCGGCCCCTGCACGGCTCTGCAGGTGTGGAGGGGTCTCAGCTAGGTGTGCACGCGGGCAGGGCACGTGACCGGGCACCGAGGACTAAGGCCGTCACCCACACAGTCAGGGCCCTCACGTGGCCCTGCAGTGATATGGCTAAAACCATCTGACTTGGGGAAGGGGTCTTTTTGCTGCGCAAAGGCGCTGCCTGACCCTTTGGGAAGCCCAGCTCATGGTTCCATTGGGCCAGGGGCTCAGAGCTGGGAGGTCCCCTGGACAATGACCGTGGAAGCAGGCCGAGCACGGCCCAGCTCCCAGCAGAATCCAAGGTCCATTGGTCCCAGGGCATCTTCCTTTCCTGACACTACCCACTCCCACCCCAGCCACGGACACAGGTACCATGGGGACCTCAGGGACCCCCAGGTCACACAAGATCACATACACACCCTGCCCTCATGGCCCGGCTGGGTGTGGCCCCACCCTGAGCGTGATGCTGGCCCTCTGTGTTTCAGACGTCCACCAGGAGTTCATGCCCCGGACCCTCTCTGGCTACATGCCCGAGGAAATCTGGAGGAAGGCTGGTGAGTCGTGGTAGGGGACGGCCCAGGGCCCCAGACCCTCTTGCCATCCGCATCGGTGGAGGGGGGCTCAGCTGGGCCCTCTCGAGGCTTGCTGACTCAGAATCTGGCGGGGGGCTGGGTCTCTGCCCTCCAGGGGACACCCCTCTACCTGACGAGAGGTTCCCCCACGACCCTGCCAGCACATGCACGCGGGACGCCCGCCCCTGGGTGGTGGGCAGGGGACACTCGTCCGGGCCGGCCCACATGCCGACCAGCCTGAGGCGTCCTTTGCAGAGGAGGCAGTGAGCGCGGTGAAGCGGCAGGCCATGTCGGAGCTGCAGAAAGCGGTGTCGGACGCCGAGCGCAAGGCCCACGAGCTCATCAGCACAGAGCGGGCCAAGATGGAGCGGGCCCTGGCCGAGGCCCGGCGGCAGGCCTCCGAGGACGCCCTCACTGTCGTCAACCAGCAGGAGGACTCCAGTGAGGTAGGGCCGCCCGCCTACTCCGCATCCCGTCCCCATCTCCTGGTCCAAGGCTGGAGCCCCAACCTCCCAGCCACGCGAACCAGGGCAGCCCTGGGCCTCTGGACCCCACACGGCCTGGTGAGGCGGGTCTTGTGGGCGTCCCCATCGACAGGTGTGGAAACTGAGGGCTCCAGAGGGTCTGTGGCTCGCCCCAGATGACACTCTAGGAAATAGCAGGGCATCCGTGAAAGCAGAGGCAAGCAGCGGGGAGTCATGCTGGTGCTTGTGTGCCCGGGGGGCTGGGCTGGCCCAGCAGGGCAGCGGGGGGCCCCGGCAGGCTCCAGTCCCCCCTTGTCTGAGAAGCGCTCAGACGACAGAGGAGTCCTGAAGAGGAAGAGGCCTTTTCTAGGGGGCTCCAGGACTGTACGGGGGTGGGGGTGGCACTTCAAAATGCCCTGGGTTGGTCTGTGCCGGGGCTGGCCCCAAGGGAGGGTGTGGAAGAGATGGGCTCCCGTCCCGGTCAGCTCGTGCATCTCTGTACGACTCTTTTCATGGACACTCTCAGCCAGAGCAGAGCAGACCTCACATCCGAGTGGGCAAGGGGGAGCGGGGAAGGTGGGAGGGCACCTGTGGGGCTTCAGGAGTGGACGTGTGTGGGAGGATGGGGTGCCAGGGCAGCCCCCTAGCAGTGCCATCCGAGCAGTCCTGGACGAAGTGGGCTAGCCGGCAGTGACCTGGGGAGCAGCAGGGACCGGCCAGGGCGGGTGGGGCAGCCATGCCTGTGGTGTGGCCCCGCAGGAGGCTCTGGAGGCCGAGTGGGCACTTGGGCCTTTCTGCCTCAGTGGGTTCGGGCCTCCCTGTCCTCCTGCCTGGGCTGCTGCCTCCAGCCTGTGCCTGGAATCCCTGCCCGCCTTCTGCTTGGGTGGCTGGGGTCCTCACTTGTTCCACGGAAGGTGGGCAGAGGCCCAGTGGTTTGGGGAGGTCATGACCACAGCTGCTCAGCCCATGCACCCCATGTCTTTATTCTGCTGGGGCTGCCATGTTCTGATATCGGAGTCCCAGCGAAGCCAGGAGGGATTCCTGGAAGAGGGGAAGGGGCCATGGCTCCCTCCCTCCTGAGGGCTCCGTGGCCCCGTAGGCGTACTGTGAGCCTCACTGGGTGGGCTTGAGCTGTGGGAGCCTGTCCCCCAGCAGCCCAGCCGAGAGGCTGTGCAGGCTGCGGGTCCCCACAAGGTGTGATGCTTTGGAGTTTTCTCTTCTCACTTGGTGGTGCCCTGGCTCGGTCTGTGCAGGTTGGTTTGCAGGGTGGACTTCCCTGTCCTGCAGCCAGGTGGGGTACTCTGGGGAAATGCGGGCCCAGGCTCGGCCGCCCCTGACCATGCCTCCCCCCGATTCAGAGCTGCTGGAACTGCGGGCGCAAGGCCAGCGAGACGTGCAGTGGCTGCAATGCAGCCCGCTACTGCGGCTCCTTCTGCCAGCACAAGGACTGGGAGAAGCACCACCACG